GGATGCTGGGACGGGTGGATGGATGGATGCTGGGGGTGGATGGAGGGCTGATCCGTGGGGATGGGGATGGAGGGACTATGGGGATGGATGGCGGGAGGACAGCGTCAGGGTTCACTACAAGGAAGGCGCTAAGGGCCCTGTGAAGTCGTTTCCCCTCCCCCTACCTACTGAAGTGGGAAATAGCATTTCTGCTGCCCTTACTTCCCAGGATCCAGCCCCGCCTCCCTGCGCAGCTTTCCCGGGCACCCAGGGCTGGGGCAGCTCGCTGCGACCTGCCCTTCGCCCCCTACTTCCACTGGGCACGAGCAGCGTTCACAGCCCCCGCTCAGAACGCCCCGCACCTCGCGTCCTTCTCAGGGAACACAAGGGGCCGTGTGCTTAACCACTGGGCCGAGCACGTCAAACGATTGGAAGCCAATGATCACCTAGACAATCAGATTGTAACGTGCAAGCCGGACCGAGCCCTGGTGCACTGGAGACGCTCCGGTCTGACAAAGCAAAGCGCCCCCACATCCTTCCCTCCCGGCTGGGCTGGGATCTGCCCTTCATGAGACAAGGCGCGCTGGCAGCTTGCCTGCTCGGGGCGGGATCCAGGGTGTCTCTCTGGGCCCCCCAGCACCCCCCAAACCGTTGCCTTGACTCATGAGTGAGAAGCCCCCTGGGGGTTGTTTCTTCCTCTGAGCCTGTGATTTCCCGATCTCCTAACGAGCGTTGGGCTCAGTCCATGGTGGCATGGCCAACCCCCGCCGCACCCGGCCAGCCAGAGAGAAAAATCTCTTCCCGCCTGCCTGACAGGAGTGTGCAGAGCCCCCTCTGGGGACCTGCCTTCGCTCCCAGGCTCAGGGAGAAAATCCATCCGAGGGCGGACAGGGCGCGATGGGGCAGGCGGCCGGGGGGTGGGCAGAATAGGGGAGGAGGCCAAATAAATGGCCTCTGAGTCCCCGAGAGCGGTGCCAGGGCTTCTCTGCAATCTGGAGCTAGGACCCAGGCCTGCGGGTGAAAGGGCAGGTGTACGAGCCACTCACCCCGTACCCACACGCTCCTCAAACTCACCCGGGGCCAGGGTGCCCTGCTGGGAGCTGGCTCGGTCCCGGTGCCAAGGCCCCGGAGCTGCCGGGACTTCTGCCGTCAGGGTGGGGTGGGGACTTTGGTTCCCCTTCCAACCCAATGATGCTTCAGGGCAATGAGTTTGCTGGGTCTCAGCTCAGCAGGTGTCCCATCCACTGACCCCCCAAGAGAGGCCGAGGAAGGGGTCCCTCCGGCTGAGGCCGGGTGGATGAACCCTGGGCTGGCCCGGGATCCCCCCGGTCCAACTGGCCGCCGGGCGCTGGGTCAGGACTCTCAGTCTGGGGCTGGGGTTTGCCTGGGCCGGTGCCGAGAGGCCAAGGGGGGGGGCGCTAGCGACAACTTGTGGGGGCAGCTGCTTCCAGGGTGCAAAGGGCTCCGGGTGCTCTGCTCACGCCTACTGCTGCGCACCCCTGGCTGGGGCCGTGCTGCCCTCTGCTGGACACAGCAGCCATTGCCTTCAGCCGCCAGGAGAGCACCCTTCCTCCGGCCTCCGGCCAGACAGGGCAGCTCCGTTTTCTGCTGCCAGCAGGTCTGGGCAGAGGGTCTTTGCTCCCAGGGTCTCCCAAGCTTGTCCCTAGCGGGGATGTAGAGAGCAGGGTCTGGGCCAACCCCACCCCCTGCACAGCCCCAGTCACTCCGCGAGGGGCCCCGGCCCTGGAGCTGCACCTGTCCTCGGCCACATCACCGGAGCAGGCAAAGCCTGTGACCCTGACAGATCTGGCCCTCCCGGTGCGCTGGGAACCCTAGGACAGAAACTGCCTCTGGAAAACAGAACAACCCGCAAAGGAGCCCGCTGCCCCCTCGCGAGGACAGAAGACAAAGCCCATGTTCCGGGCACGAGACAGGCCGGCGCGTGCCCGCTCTGGGTTCGGGGCTGACAAACTGGGAAAAGAAACCAGGGGACATCACGGGCCATTGGATCAGGAGCCACTTTGTCCCCAGGGGAGACGCTGAAACAAGAGGACCCTTCCTCCCGCCCCGGAACCGGGCACTGACATGGAGCGGTGCTTCGTCTGGCTCCCGGAGAGAACGTGCTCTGGCTTGGGGGGCAGCAGCAGCAGCTTCCCCATCCGGGGCAGCCCGAGCCACACGCTCAGCCCGGGGCCGCGGGGGGAGATCAGGCTGGGTGGCACGCGGCACGCTGGGCGCTTGGAGTTGTGGGGGCCCCACTTCAGGCACCGGGGGCCTGGTTTCCAGCTGACGTCCCTGGGCAGGTGCGTGTTCTCGGCCTGTTGAAATCAGGCTCTGGGTGTCTCCCGGGCGGCCCCCAAACTGGAGTCACTCTCAATTAGAGGCCGCATTGTATAAATCCCACATAGTCAGCACCCTGGCAAAGGGGGGGGGGGGCAGCACCCTGCAGAGCCCCAATCCTGCAAACACCTGGGCACGGCTGCCCTCTCCCCAGCCAGGGGGGTGTTCACACCCTCTGGGGGTCTCCTCCCGGCCCTGCCCCTCTCCACTCCCCCCCCTGCTGCTGCGCTGCATGGCACCGCCCCCCCAGGCCCCAGCCCCCTCGCCCCTGCTCCGGCCCCGTGCCCAGGGGGGCCCTAGATGGGCTTCAAAGCCACGGGATCGTTACCATTAATTAATGGGGGCGGGGGGGGTATTTGGGGTCCATCCTGATTTCGCCTCCTTTCAGGGAAGCCCCCCCCCCCGGTTATGGGAGATCAGGGTCAAAGTTCCCCAGTAAATTCACACACCGAAATGCAGGGCTGCCCCGCCCCCGCGCTGGGCACAGCCCCGCCCCCCGCCGGGTGCCCCGCCCCCCGGCCCGGAACCGCGCGGCGGCCCCGCGTTCCCGGCCGGAGCCATTTCGCAGCCGGACTCGGCCAAGATGGCGGCGCCCAGCGGGCAGCGCGTGCGGGGCGGGCGCTGAGCCGAGCCCGGGCCATGGCCGGCCTGACCCTGCTGGTGCGCGGCCTGCCCGCCTCGGCCCGCGGCCCCGGCCTGGAGCAGCTCTTCGGCCAGCTCGGCCCGCTCAAGCGCTGCTTCGTGGTGACCCACAAAGGTGGGGCGGGGCGGGGGGAGCCTGCATCGGGGGGGGGG